TGTATCTTGGAGGTATTTCGATTATATCTTTTTTACATATTGTAACTAGTAGAAACAAAATAAGCCTTAAGAAAAGTGGCATTTGCAACATGCTTGAAGCCAGTTCATATGTTCTTTGAAAGTTCTATCTTAGGATCAACCAAGACTAAAAAAGGAATACTACAACCAAAGATACGATAGAAGTTCATCATTAATAAGTTCATGATGAAGATGTAAGTTTTACAAGTCTTGAGCTAACAGTTTCAAGTGTGTTTAATCCATGTCATTACTTCCAAAGCTTTTTTAAAATTTTAAGGTTACCCTCTAAAATTTGTAAAACCCATGCATAACCTAATTAAATGTCAACAAGATAATCTATGTAAATCAATCCAAGGGTTGGTTTACCCATCTAACCTCGAAAGTCTACCAAAAATTTAAAAAGGCTTGAGCATAAATTTTAGGCTCGTTAAATGGGCATGAGCTTGAATTTTAGGCCCATTTAAAAAATGGATTTGGGCCTTGGGCTTAATATTTAAAGCTCAAGCCTAGCCGACTTGATAATTTTTTTATTTATTTTATATTTATAATTATATTACATAAAAATAAATAATGAATTAAATAATATATGAGTAAACATTAATATTTTATACTAATATATGTATCCAATCTCACCCAAATCCAAAATTAAATTAACAAAGTCATTTTTTATGCTTTGTTTGTTTTGTCATAATTAATATTTATTATAAAATGTTCTTTTATTTTTTTGCTTAAAAAAAATTAAAATTATGGGCAAGCTTGGTCAAGTCGACACAATTTGTTTTCATTTAAAATCAGAGTTGGGTAGCAAAATGAGGCTCATATTTCAAGTAGTGCTAAGCTTGGATAAGCTTGAAACTTATTAATATCCTCTATAGGCCCTTCTTAAATTTGGCCTGACAAGTCTAAATAAATGTAGTTAAACATGTTAAGTGTAGAACCTTCTTCAAGATACTTTATGGCTAGTTAAACATCACTTGAACACATGCTTAAGTGTAGGAGAAAAGATCCCCCCCACTATTTAAAAAGTATGAAAATTTTCACTACTTTATCTAAGGTGATAAATTTACTTCCAATTAAATCTATTATTAATATTTATTCAACTTATTTTTACTTAATTTAGTTAATTTATAATTGAAATTTAGTTAATTTACTGTTTTTATTTAGACATGGGATCAAGCGTATTTTTTTTATTTCATGTTCACAAATAGACATACTAGATCATACATTTCATATATCTATTTCTATACATTAGAAAATAGATGTTTTTCATTATGATTTTTTTTTTACATTTTGACTTTTTTCTCTTGTTCGGTTTTTTCTTTTCTCTTGTTTGGAAAAACTAAAGAACATGTGAAAAAATTTTCGGAATTGCGTATTTATTAATTCAAAATTCAATTCAATGATGCATTAATTAATGTATCAATGAATTGAATAAATAAATATTCAAATAAATAGAATTCAAATATCGAGCAAGTAGTGGGAATCGAACTTGCATCATTAGCTTAGAAGGCTAAGGGTTATAGTCAACGTTGATTCATTATTTTTAACGTCTCTAATTCAAAGCCGAACATGAAATTTTGGTTTCATTCGGCTCCTTTATGGAAGATGGATAAAAAAAAAAAAAAAACTAAAGTGGGAATGAAATGAAAAAAGAATTAAGCTCAATATCAATGTTAGCTTTTCTTTCTAAATATATTCAAAACAATTCGCTTTTTAGATGATCCTTCTAGAAGAGTGGGATTAGAACAATTTTTCTAGTTACTTCGTTCTCTATTTCTATTTGAGAAAATCCTTAGGAAAAGCATTTTGTTTCCACCGAGCTAAAACAAGATGTAAATGTCTCTAGTAAACCAATAAGATGTTTTCTTTTGTCCTTTCCCAGCGATAAAAAAAAGTTAATATATTCAAGATAATTATGTATTTACAATGTATCTTCTCAATTCATCATATTTCATCAAATTTGAGATGTGATATGGTTCCAAAAGATGAACTAGGCAGTTCCAATAAGATTTCATTCTTGAATAAAAATTCCTTTTTTGATTTATTTCATCTATTCCATGACCAGAATAAGGGGATATACAGTATATCACGATTGTGAATCAGAAGAGAGATTTCAAGAAATGACAGATCTATTCTTTCTATTAGTAAACAAGCCGAATTTGGTGTATCATGACTGAAAGTTATGATAAAAGGTTTTAGTCTTGGAAGAGATGCAACCTTATGAACAATTCATAGAAGTGGTATACTATTAAGTTTCATACAAGATGTAAACCCCTAATGGCAATAAACCCCTTAAAAAAATGTGTGTAGAAATAAATACTAAAGAGATTTTAAAAGAAATAAATGATTCAATGATCTGATCAAATAAAATAATATTAATATGATTCAAAAGAAAGTAAAAGCCTTAACTCAGACATTATGTGAAAGTGTGTTGAATCATGAATAGATAGTAAGTGTCTTTATTATGGACACTTTATTCTGTCTCCACTTATGAAAAGCCAAGCCAACACAATAGGTATTGCGATGTGAATAGCTTTGCTAGGAGAAATAGAAAGAACATGCATTATACGTGCAAAATCTAAGAAAGTACCACATGAATATTCTACCATAGTAGGTATTCAAGAATCAGTACATGAAATTTTAATGAATTTAAAAACAATTGTATTGAGAAATAATTTGTATGGAACTCATAACACTTTTATTCATGCCAAAGGTTCTAGTTGCATAACTGCTTAAAACATCATCTTACCCCTTTTGTGAAAATTATTGATAATACACAACATATAATTAACCTAATCGAACTAATTAATTTTAAATTAAATATAAAAATTAATTAATAAAATAGTGAAAATTTTCACTATTTTTTAGCAATGAAAATGATTTTTTTCCTTAACTGCAAACCCTTTTGAAAATTCTTTTGATGTATGGGTATAAATTACTAACTTATGCTCAACCTTTTTCAAACTAATAATACAAATATAACTTTTGAAGACAAATGACCAGTCATAACTAATTAGCCTAAAATCTCTTATTCCCACTCCAATTACACCTTAATTGGCATTAGTAAATGCCTAATATCACTCTTACATTTATAAATAAGGTTAATTTGTTTTTTTAATTTTTATATAACTTTTTAATTGAATTGGTATTATTTTACTCATAAATTCAAATTTACTCATAAGCATCAAACTCAATTAAAATTTTAATATAATAAATTTTAATAATTCATATATATATATTTTGTTTGTCAACTATTAAACACCAACTTTATAACAATTTACTAAAACTTTATTAAAAAAAAAATACATTTTTTGGTAATCTCTTAATCAAACAAGTCCATAATCAAACATTAACAAAAGGACAAGAAAACAAGTCCATAGTGAAAAGTTTTCTATTTTAAGTCATAATGAAAAGCTGAAGACAGGACAATACCAACATCAAACTTGTTATCAGAAAAAGGAAAGGAAATTAGAGAAAAGTCATTGTAGTATTTAACTATAAGGGGATGTTTGGTTCACATAATCTTGGATTTTGGAGAAAAGTGTGATACTCGAAAAAGTGCAATACCTAGAGTTTTCTTCCATTTTCAGGGCATCTTATGTTCAGATTCACTTGTTTTGTTGAAAAAATTCACATATATTAATTCTTGAATAATTACCATAATCTTGTTAACATATATGATGGTAATTTTTTATTAGTTTTTATTAATAATAAATACCCAAATGATAAATGATACCTTTAACAGCAAAAAAAGATAAATATTTTATTTGATTGCTATTTTTATTTATAAAATATCATTAAAAAAAATATTAGGGATTATTTATAACGTTTCTAATTGAAAAACGCCTTAAATAATCCATTTTATTACTTTAAAAGAGATTATTTAAGACATTCTTTGTTCAAAAGTGCCTTAAATAAATGCTTTTTAAAAAATATGAAGGGATTATTTAAGGCGTTTTTGTCCAAATAATCTCTAATATTTTTTTAAAGGGGATTATTTAAAGTATTTTTTGGTAAAAAATGCTTTAAATAATACTTTTCAATTTTTTAAAAGATATTATTTAAGGCATTTTTTTACCAAAAACGTCTTAAATAAAATCTTCACTTTTTTTAACTATATTATTTAAGGTGTTTTTTTACTAAAAACACTTTAAATAATCCCTTTAATTACTTATAAGATTTAAGAGATAAAATTTAAAAAAACTAGAGTAGCTCAGTTGGTTAGTGTATATGGTTATTAACTATACGGTTGTAGGTCCAACCCTTCCTTTTAGCACTTTAATATTTTTTTAGGAAGATTATTTAATAAGTTTTTAGTCAAAAATACCTTAAATAATACCTTTCAATTTTTATACTATTTATTTAAGACGTTTTTTTATTAAAAATACCATAAATAATCTCTTTCATTATTTATAAGATTTAAAAGGTAAAATATAAAAAAAATAGAGTAGTTCAATTGGTTAAAACATATGATTATTAACTATTATATTGTAAATTTGACTTTTCTTTTAACGTTTATTTTTTAGGATTACTTTTTTTATTATTATTTAAGATGTTTTCTAATCAAAAATACCTTAAATAATTGTTTAATTTTTTTTAAGATTATTTAAAATATTTTTCGTATCAAATGTCATTAATCGCAATATAAAAAAAATTTAACAGCAAAAATTTATAATTAATTTATAATCACTTCCATACATACTTTTAAAAATAGTAAATTTATTTTATAATTTTTTATTCACATCAAATCTAAAAATAACATAATTTTTTTTCAAAATCTTAAAATATGATAAAAAAATTATGATTTTTGATTTTAAAAATTTAAATATTATTAAAAATTTATCACTTTTTTTTAAATCAAATTATCTTAAACTAAATATTAAAATCAAATATTCAATAATAAAATTTTAAGAAAAAAAAAGGTATAAATTTCTTCGTAACAAACCCCTTAAAAGAATCCTACAACATTTAACGTACTTTAGTTACTTTCCTCGGAAAAGGTAAAAGCCAACCTAACTCTTGGAAACTAGGAAGTCGATTCCAGAACAAGAAGATAAGGACGTTTTTTACGAACGAAAACTCAATTATTGAGTACTAAAATGGTGTCTGTCAGGATTTTGGAACAAATAAAATTCTTCGTTTTCTTTTTATGGTGAAACGTGGTAAAATTTAATCTCAGTGAAAAAAAGAAAAAGAGGGATTCAGGAAGCAGAGCAGAGGTGGGTCCAAGACATGGATGGTGAATCGAGTGCGGGTGTAAAGACGGCGTTGCTTGTGAAGAGTGAGAGCGGAAAACGTGGACGGTTCAATAGGCGTAACTCGTTGAACTCGCTGAGGAATGAGTTTGTGTCGAGGTTGCCTGATAAGGTTCGCCCTGGTCTGGATGCTGAGTCCCCTTTCCACATTGATGTCTCCAAAAACAAAGGCTTAACTCCAGGTCTCTCTTTCAGTATTTTATTTTTTCTCTATAGGAACAACTGGGAAATGCGTTTACTTTTTCTGCTTTTCAGCTTTCATGTTTGGCTTCTAAGAATATGTTTCTAGCTCTAAATCTGTATTGCAATTTGTAAGATTATATATATATATATATATATATATATATATTAACACAATTGATAGATATAAATAAATAAAATTTGCAAAATTAAAATTGTTCTTAAGTATTTATAGTCGAAACATCGAACTTGACTAACCGGTTTAAAACAAAATCACTTGTTTGAAAATTGTTCGATTTTCGGTCTATATCTTACGGAGGTACCTCACGTCAATTCTCTTTCAAACAAAAATTTTTTTTTCTTTTTTCTCTTGTCATTTCTTCATCAAAATATGTGTGAAATATGATGGTGCTTTTATGCTTAATTTAAATTAAAGGAAGATAAAACATTATCTGAGAAAGAGAAACCCATTATAGGAGGTTCCATGCACCAATATCAACATCTCCCGCCCACACATAACAGATTTGATACTTTCACATTTAATTTTAAGAGAACAATATCTCTATTTTCGTACAAGGTTCATACAAGAAAATAGGTTGTGCCATCAACATACTTTATATCTCAAGAGCTCGTTGCTATATAATTGCTATAATGATTAAAGTATTTAATTAGAGTAAGTTTGTACTACCCTATATCTATTTAGTCACATTTTAAATTTTTCATGATCTCAATTGCACAATATAGTTTTGTATTCACAATTATATTTAATTGTATAAAACATAATTTGGTTAACCAGTGAATACAATTAAATGTGACACTTAAATGGTCTTCCCGTCTTTTAGAATCTCTTCATTCCAAATTCAACTACTTTTCGGATATGTTACATTTGAATGATTCATAGTCATTGATAACATTCCCAAAAGCTAACATTGAATTGACACTTTAAGAAACAGTCAAAAAGCCAGTCTCACACAACTAAGAAGTATAGATCAATTTTTTTGTTACCCATTTTGATCGAATAATGCACATGTAGTATGAAACACATGTTATAGCATTATTCTTCTTTTCTCATGAAGCATATGCGTTTATCTCAGTTTCTATACTGTACAAGTGATAGTTCATATGCACTCAGTACCTCATGTGATCTACAACTCTACTTATTGTTTACTATATTAACAGGACGTCCACCTGGCATAAAGACTGAAAAAGTAAATTGTGGGATTATTCACTTTTCTATCATAATATACGTGACTTCATCTTGATTCACTGTATGATTTCGTTTTAAGCTTAAGCTCTCTTATAATGCTTAAAACTAATTTCATGTCTATACAGCACTAAACCTTTAGAGGTGATTGCCTATGTGAGAAAGTCAATTTACTGCCTAAGGTATATTATGTACTAGGCTAAGAAGCTGAAGACATGTAAGGTGAGAGTTCGAACCCCATTATCCCCATTCCCTATTCCTTTAGATAAAAAAGACTTATACATGTGTGTGCTTCATAAATATATTACTAAACTTAATAGGCATTATATACATGAAAAATTATTAAAAACTCTTCATCAAAATGTCCAAAATAATTACATCAAAATCTACGCAATCTTAAAGATTTAACATTGGCATTGTAAACATATCTAGGTATAAACTTCGTAAATAGATCTGCAATCACTCTATGCATAGATTTTTACTCTAAATTCACTTTCTTTTGTGCAACTTACATCTCTCAAGAAATTATATTTGGTATGTTTGTGTTTGGTTTTTAAATGATATCCTTTTGACAGTTTTCTAACAGGGTTGTCCTAGATTTGATTGATATATTTGCTTACCATTCCAACTGCAAAACAAATATATGGCCCTGTGCATATCATAACATATATAAGGCTTCGAACAACACAAGAATAAGAAACTCTTGCTACCTGTTCCTTTCTTGTGGAGTCTTAGGTCACATTTTTTGGCTCAAACTGTTACCTTCTGCAATAGGCGTATCAATTAGCTTGCAGTGTCGCATTTGTAATCATTTAAAAATTTTCATAATATGTGACTTTTGCGAAAGAGCTAACAATTTCTTAGAACGATCCCTTATAGTTTTTACTCAAAGTATATTGACTCAACTGAGTCTTCTGCAATTATTTGGCTAAGTTAATCAAGTTTTTAAAATGCATTGGGAACAAAATAGAAAAAGAAATTAACAACTTTATGTTTTACAAATTGAAGATTCTAAAATAAATAAAATTTTGCTTTTATTATAGCTTTCAATTGTTCTTTTCTTTCATAGGTGAAAAGGAATACTATAAAACACAATTTGAGACCTTAAAATCCTTTGAAGAAGTTAATGCTTTGGATGCATCCTCTGAAAGCAATGATGGTGGAGATGGTGAAGATGATGAAGATGAAGACCAGGCCCAACATGAAAGAGCCATGCAGATTTCTAATTATGCAAATATTGTTTTGCTGGCATTTAAGGTACTTTTTTCTTTTTCTTTGAAGATTTCTAATCAGTTTCAAGAACAAACACATCAAGTTGAAGAATTTTGCTTATAAAATTTAAAAATTTTCTGCTATATCATTGTGAATGTCACTCATTCCTTGTGCTTCAGCTGTTAAAATAACAATTTGAGTATTGTACAGCTCTATGCTACCATAAAGAGCGGTTCCATAGCCATTGCGGCATCAACATTAGATTCTTTACTTGATCTCATGGCCGGCGGCATACTTTGGTTCACTCACTTGTCAATGAAAACGATAAACATCTATAGGTATCCAATCGGAAAATTAAGGATGCAGCCTGTAGGCATAATCATCTTTGCTGCAGTGATGGCTACACTAGGTATGCCCCTTGATTGTTTCTCAGTTAGTTTTGTCAAAGTTATCTTTGCCTTCACACCATCCATAATCTCCTTAGATTTCCCCTCTGCACTATGATTATTGTTTTCCCAACTTTTGGGCGTCTTCATCATATGATCTAGCGGCATACGTTTTGTTGCTAAGAGCACATTCAGGCTGAAAATCATTTTGTAATTTTATCACAAAGAAGTTACATTTTCAAACATGATCTCTTCAATATTCCGGTGCATAATACTTAAATGATATAGACTGGAATCTGCTTTAATTTCCTAGGGTTGCTAGTACATTCTCTTTTGGAACCATGAATAAAACTGAAAGTATGATGAAGGCGTCAGAATACATATATGTCACAGAGTCTAAAATGCATACATGTTTGCAGGGGTCGTTACATTCCAGTAAAAGTAAATAATCAAAGAGGTTCACTCTTTTATGATAGAACAACATTGTGAATCCTATGTATGTAGAGTGCATCGTTTTATATCAATGAATCTTTTATGACTTCACATACACTTACAGGCTTTCAAGTGTTTGTCCAAGCTGTGGAGCAGCTAATAGAAGATGAACCTTCAGAAAAAATGTCCTCAGGTCAATTAGTGTGGTTGTACTCCATCATGTTGTCCGCTACAGTAGTAAAACTTGCCCTCTGGATTTACTGCAAAAGCTCATCAAACAGGATTGTTCGTGCTTATGCGAAGGTTTCTACTCCAATTTTGTTGAGGATTTCTTTATTGTCACTTTGCTTGTGATTGGCAACTATGTAATGCCTTCAATTGCTGATTCCCAGGATCACTATTTTGACGTGGTAACAAATGTAGTAGGATTACTTGCAGCTGTTCTTGGTGATAAATATTGTTGGTGGCTTGATCCTGCTGGTGCTATTGCCCTTGCAATTTACACAATCTCGAATTGGTCAGGAACTGTTATAGAAAATGCAGGTAAGCTTTTTATAACAGGAATTCTCCTATATGATCATTGGAGTTGAGATTTTGAGAAAGCAGAAAAAAAATGAAGGGTGGCAAACTATTTCTTACCTGTAGCAAAAATTCTTCTGAAGGTTCCAACCTAAAATTTTTTGTTCTGGCCATTATTGAACTATTCTGGCTTTAATGTTTGATATGTTCTGATAATTTAAGCAGTAACATACTCCAGAAAAGAGGTTGAATTTGGTAGAAAACTTTTCCATGCCCATGAACCAGAAATATGACCTGTCAGTGAATGAGAGGGATGGATAAGTAAACCACCAAATATGCTCTCACTTCCCAGTTATTAATTGAGTCATTACGTTTGAAACTAAGTTTCTCAATCTAGTGATTAGAGCTTACAACTGAAATAAATTATATGCCTATTGCGGGGATGCATTTATGGGCATGGGGTGAAGAATGATGAGTTATCAAGTTTTAAAAATTTAATTGAAATTATCCTGTTATTGCTCTATCATGTTACATTAAGGTTTTAAGTATAATGTAAATCAGACTTGCCCACCTCTAACCATTAATGCTTACAACCAACTGAATGCGACATCTCTTGATGTAGTTTCTCTAGTGGGACAATCAGCTCCTCCTGAGTTTCTGCAAAAATTGACGTATCTTGTCATCAGACACCCTCAAGTCAAGCGTATTGACACAGTCCGAGCTTACACATTCGGTCTTCTATATTTTGTAGAGGTTAGTTTTGTTCATTTCAGCCTTTTATGATTGTAAAAAGATGAAGCAATCTGGTGCATGCCTTGTTGGTCAAATTCAATCCTAAACATTATCATCATGTTTGGCATACAAGATTATGATAGGATAGGATAAGATGATATTATAAATAGGATTAGATTAAATAATGTTATCATATCTTATGTTTGATGTGTGCAAGGATTAAGATAAGATAATTTATTTATTGGTCAAAATCATCATTTCTCAAAGTTTATATAATTTAAATTATTGATGTAATTTTTAAGGGTATAATAAGACATGTAAATTTAATACCATAGATTAAAAATAATCCTCTCCACTTTGGGAGGATTAAATCATCCTATACCAAGAGGATGATCCTTCACATAATCCTATCCCTTTCAATTAGATACAAATCAAACATAATATAAAACGATTATCATACTATCATATTTATGATCTTTTGTACCAAACTTGACCTATGTTCTTTGACTGATAGCTTTGAAGCTGTCTGTTTCTTACCCGAAGTAGAAATTAAGCCCTTGGGCATAACTGCACTTTAGTGCGTTAGAATGTTATGAATTTCAACACTTCTTTTCTTTCTTTTTTCTTTTAAAAATACGAAACGGGTTGTAGGTATTAAGATTTGAACCCATATCTTTTAGATAATTCCTTTTTTAAGATGATTGTATGAATTAGTTGAGCTAAGTTTCGAGTTCAAAATTTCAACACTACTTTTAAGCAATATTCCATTAAATTGCAATTCTTATTTACAAAAACATGTGATGAGTGAATCTTAAGTCACAAGGCAAAAAATAAAGAAACTATTTAACTAATCTGCAAACACTGTTTCTTTTTCTTTTTCTTCTTACCTTTGTCTTGTCAAGCAATACACAGATGTGCTGCATGATATTGGATTAACAGAAACATATTTTGACAAACTGCTTTGAAACCCATGTCAATGTTTATACAGGTGGACATTGAACTTCCTGAAGATTTGCCATTAAAAGAAGCACACACCATAGGAGAGACCTTGCAGATAAAGATTGAGAAACTTCCTGAAGTTGAGCGTGCATTTGTTCATCTTGACTTTGAATGTGAACACAAACCAGAGCACTCTGTTCTCAACAAGCTACCCAACAATAAGCCTTGATTGTTTGTTACCTCTCGCCGATATAAATTCAGAAAAGTTGTCTGATATTACCTTTTGTTTAAGTCTGGTTTCCTTTTTGGGGGATTTCATTGTTGGGGCTCCTCCGTTTTGGGTGTGTTTTGGACAACTAAGAGATTTTTATCTCTCAATCAATAAACTTACTTGGCTTAGCCAAAAAAAAGAAAAAAACAAAAGATAAGTTGCCCTTCGGATCTTTATGGAATAGTTTTCCTCCTCGAGTGTTTCTTGAGTATCAGCACGAGGATCAGACACAAACCAATGGTCAAGGGGAATAACACCATGAGTGAAGCATTTGTTCTCTTGACGTCAAGTTGTTGGTAAAAAATAAATGTCAGCATATCGTTTTTCATTGGTATTCTCTCCAACTTCAAGAGCATGGCGTGGGAATTTGTTTAGCTTTTGAGAAATATAAATAAGAATTAATTATACTTTAGTACCTAAACTTTGGAAAAAAATCTAAATTGGTATTTTAAAAAATAAAACATACAATTTGTATCCTAAACTTTCAAATAAAATAAAAAATCACCTTATATACATAGCGTTTGACAAATATTATCAAATTATAAATTCATCAAACATATTATCAACATTTTTATCAATATAAATTAAAAAATATATATCTTTTTACCTAAATCGTAAAAATTGTTTAGAATCGATCAATTATTATTTGTCATGTGACATCTACATGACATTAATATGATGTTTTTACAATATATTTAACACTTTCATTTAACAAGTAAAATGCATATAAAAAAAATTACTTTGGTTAAATACCATAAAAGTTAGTTAAGTTATAATATTAAAATTAAAATGATATATTATTTGAAAATTTAAGGTGCAAATTATATATTTTATTTTTTAAATATTAAAAAAAAATAATATTATGATAAATATCATCATATTATCAAAACAATGCAAAAGACTGGATTTACGAAAACACAAATTTAATCAAATTACGAAAATGTTGCAGAAGCGATACTAACTTGATTCCAAGAACAAGATCACACATTCAAAGATAATCTACCATCCATAGTATAAGTCCTTAAAAACCGATGCAAGAGATTTTTCGAAGAGTTTTCTTTTCTTTGCTGTTTTTTTTTTCTCTTAATTTCTAAGTAACTTATCACATAATCTCACATAAATAAACTTATCTCATACTTTATTTAAATAAACATATTCGTCTTCTTTATCATAGCCAAATTTCATATTAAGTATTGAGATAAGAAGAGACACGGCAAAAAACTTTTCATCATCTCCGTACAATGATTGAATGCCATTTTTCCTTCTACATTTTGCTATGGTGAAAATGCCATCCATTAAGGAAGAGAGAGAAAGAGACAGTTTTTGGCACACATTAATGTGATGGAGTTAGAAACTGACAAGGATACCAGTAAGAGGTTAAAGGAAAATGACAATAAAGATGATACAAAAGAGTTAAGAATGAAATTATCTAATGTAAACTGTCAAGCCAATGATTAGTCGATTACATGAATAGTAGTTACTAAAATAACAACTGTCTGTATTGTGGGTTGTAATTCACAAATTTTAACTGTCATATATATGTACATTTTCAGCTTGAATGAGAAACCACAATTTTCTTACACTCATATCTCTCTCTTGTCTGGTCTTAATCTTTTTTTCTTCTAGTTTATTTCTTATTTCTCTTTTTTAGATTAATTTTCGGTTAATCAATAGCATCATTCTATTACAATTTTGGTATCAAAGCCTATTAGATCTACTTTCAATATGGGAAAACCTAAGAAACAACAAACCATGATTGACGGAGTGAACTTGGATGTTCTATAATAGTAGGTCCTGGTGATGTAAGGGCAGCTTAAGGTTGTAATGATTGCTATTAATAGTTCCAAAGTGTTGGGAAGAACAAATGAAGCTTATTAAGTCCCAACTTACTGAAAATCAGAAACATATAAGATAAGTGCTTGAAATGTTAGATCCAAGAAAGGCAATTAAAACTCAACTAGAATCAGAAGGGATAACTAGTAGCCAACCATTTGTTCCTATTTCTCAGTCTAAAATGGGAGGTAAGGCTCTTATTGTAATTATAATAATAGATGATCATGAAAAATATGTTTATAAGCCTGGTAGAGTAGGATATTAGCTAGTAAACAACATAAAATCAATGGTAGTACCTTTCAATTTAATACTGAACAATCTAAGAATGCTGATTTCATTGCTAGTAGTAGTTTTTCAACTGTTATGAATATATTTGCACCTAGACCTAAGATTGAGTTGTCAGTCTTTGATGGAAACAACCCTAGGGGTTGGCTTAAAAATGCCAAAAATACTTTGCCATATTTTCAATCTTTGATCACCATAAATTAGATATAGCTGCTATGTACTTAGTGGGAAAGGCTAAAGTGTGAAAAAAAATGGTGACATGGTTAGAGTTTACTAATAATTTGTGCCAACGATTCTATGACAAAACCTACTCTGACATAATAGAAAAGTTTAACAAATTGGCCTAAAAGATCACTGTGGATGAATATTAAGAAAATTTTGAAAAGTTAATACCTTATATGTTGCAATATAACCCATACTTGACTGAAGGGTACTATATTTCTAGCTTTATAGGTGGACTCAATGATGAAATCAAGCTTAGAGTGAAGGCTAATGAACTTGGAACCCTTACTACTACCTAATAGCAAGCCAAACTACATGAACTATCACTTGAATTTGAAAACAAAAGACATAAGTAGACCACCAAACCTATGTTTACCTTTAATATTAGCCTTTATTATACTTAACCAAAACCAAATCCATAAGCCAATTCCATACCAAATAAACAACAGCTTATTGAACAAAAAAGGCTACAAATCTATGTTTTAAGTGCGGTAAGAAATTATGCCATGCCATGTTTGTAGAACAATACAACTTAATGCCATTACTACTGATAAATCCAAAGAGGAAAAGGATAACATGTAGGATGGTGAGGGAGAACCAAAAGGAGTTGAGGAATAAGACAATCCTGAAAACTTATAGATTTCTATTAATGCTCTTATGGGTAGTGTTGGGCACAGCGCTCTTAAGATTGAAGGAATGATAAAAGGGAAACCACTTATATCTTTATTGATAGTGGCAACACTCATAGTTTTATCATTCTTAAGTGGGCTCGAGAGAGTGGAGCTGGAGCAAACTAATCTTTTAGCTATAATAGTAACTAATGAAAAGAGATTTTATAGCAGTGCCAGATGTAAGAAGTTAACCTAGTGAATATAGGGACATGTTTTCTCATATGATTTGAGAGTATTGCCAATAGGGGATAGTGACATAGCTCTTGGAGTTGATTGGATGAAAAGGTATAAACCCTTAATGTTCGATTTTAATAAGCTATCTATGATTTTTCAGAAAGAAGGTTAGCAAGTGACATTGAAAATAAGTAAAAAAGCAACTAGGTGTTAAGCTTATTATTAGTAAAAAATTGTAAAAAATGGCTAGTAAAGACCCAAACATAAATGGAGAGCTTTATATGATCAATGTAGATTATATGAAAGAAAAAACTCCTCCTAAACTGTAGAAATTGCTCATTTCTTATTCTAACATCTTTGAAGAACCAACAAGATTACCACCAGCTTGATCACAGGACTATAGTATACCTCTCAAGCTGTAAATTTGAGACCATATTGTAAACACCAAATTTTATCCGAAATATTTTAACATGGTTAACCTGGGCCCTATTTTGAACTCAGGCTAAAATGATTAATTTAGGCCTATTATGAAGGCCCATTCATAACCCTAAAGGAAGCTCGATTACAAGTCTAATTCATGACCCATTTAAAGCCCAATGGATGGCTCGCTTTAAGGGCCTATTACATGGCTCACGTATAGCCCGAGCCCGTTTTAAAGGCCTATTTAGAAGCCTGTTATATAGATCAAAATATGGTACAAAACATAAGCTTAAATAACACAAAGAAAGGAAAGAGGTAGCCTGTAACAACAAAAGAAGGTTCATAGTTGGGAATACCCATTCTAGTGTCACGTGTAGGGGTTTAAGAACTTGTACTAGGGGACAATCAGCACAAAACAGCTGCAGTAGTAAACCTACATAAAAACCAACCTTAAAAGATAAAATAATGAGTTAGTGGCCATCGGTAAGGAAAAAAAAGAATAAACTTAGGAAGGAAACTCCCTTCATCATCGTGCAAAATAGAGAATCGTGCAAGAACAAAAGGAGAACAATGTTGTCAAAAATCCGGAAGAAAACTCCCTTCATCATCATCGCCTTTACCTGCTAGCTAATTTTTTACTGTAGAGGCTGCCATTGCTGTTCCAAATGTACCACCAAGGGCACCATCGTACTGTCAGACTTAACCCTATGGCCGAAAGAACCAAGTGATGAAATCTCATTTTTGCTAATTTTCTCTTCGTAAATAGCATTTAACTGGAGAAAATATGAGCATGCCTAAGAATCTTCAAGCCTTCTTACCTAGCCTGTTTGAGAAAATTGGTTTATAGAACAAAAGAAGCTTGGATTGCTAACTATAAGGGTTTTTTTCGAAAACTAAAAGTCATGTAAGTTGAAAAGAAATATGTATTTCATGAGAATGTTTGGTTGTCTTTTGATGAGATTCCATGGTTTGCCATTTATGCTTCTAGCATTATTGTTTGCAAGGTAGCCCTTATTTACAAGAAAATAGGAATAAATAAATGATAACATATTGGGAATAAAGAGAAAGAAAGCTCAAGGATTAGAAACTTCAAAGCTTGAAAAGCCATGGCTAGAATCAGTGGCCTCTGGAGATTGCCATGCATAATAAACCTTTTTCTTCTTTTCTTTATTCCAATAATTAAATAAATGATAAAGACAATAAAGGTAGAATAAAACAATTGTTTTGCCATGATAAATGGATGTGATGGATGTTTTCTCTTAATTGGGATATTTCTTCTTATAATAAACTAATATCTTAAAATTTGAGGCCATATATTTATTTGTTAATAAACTTTATTATAATACATGCCACCTGAGTAGTGATTCTTTAAAATCTTTAGGTGAAAATATTTTTTTAAATATTATCAAATTAATGAAGTATTTAGGAAAGTATTTAATACTAAATATTTTTTATTTATTTAATTTCTTAAAATTATATTTACAATTAAATGATATCTTAAGTATAAAATAAAATAATAAAATTTACAATTAAATGATATTTTAAAGCTTCCAATTTACCTACTGCATCTGTTTTACTCTATCGTATGGTTGTAGCTTGTAAGAAGGCTTGAAATTTTAAATTTCTTTTCATGTTTACTAGTTAAAATAGTGAAAGGGTGGTTCTCTTTTTTTTTTTTAAAAAAAAAAGAATAAGTACACATAAAAGCCAAGACGTTGATCTATAATCTTTTGCCTTCCTTTTGTTTGTTTTAAGATGGGATAATTCTAGACAATCTCTTGT